CCCCAACCCCACCCCCTCCCCAAAACCTTACTAGCTTAGGTCCTCAAATATCTACTGGTCAGGCAGGGAAGACAGACAATAGACCACTATAGAAAAGTAGGTAGAGACCTGAAAAAAACAATGACTAATTGCCCAATTTACCTAGTTTTCAGAAATCTGGGGTGTTTATATAAAGGAGGGAGAGCAAAGGTTGCAATGAACTCATTCAGAAAGACAGCTTTTTTAGTAAAAAGAGAAGCTCTTCAGGGTACTTGCAGCTATTGTGAATTTGTGACATGAAGGTGTGCACATATACCAAGGATGCGTATGTATACATGCATGTCTTTAATATATATAGTTTGATGCAATGCTGCACATGCTGTGACCTATTTTCCTTACCTGTTCTGATAACTGTAATAAGTGGCATCTCGAGGGATTGTGCATAGCTGTTTGCCATAGCAACATAAAGTCTGTGGTGAGAATTCCAACTGCAAAAAGAAACGCATTTTCTTAGTACTCATGCATGTTTCTACTCACTGTCCACGGGAAGTGGGTATGATCCAGATAATGAAGTTCATCTGGACTCTGGATTCTTAAATTACATAATTCCATGGATCTGAATAGTACAATATGAGTATATATGTGTTTATACTGTAAACTTGTTTTATTTGGGCATCATTTACTAGTTAGCCATTGTTTTATACCACTGTTCTCAACAGGGCAATCACTTTTCTGTAATTGTACAAGTTGCTTAGACAGCTCACTTTGTTATAACTCCAAAAGCTGATTTACCCCAGTTCTAAGCTACATTAAGCCTTAAGATATATCCTGGTAAATCAGCTATGGTGATTTCATAGAAAAAAAGTGGTGTTTAAGCAGCGTATGCAGGATTAAACAATCAACCAAGGGTTTCTCAAGTTAGATTCTGAAATCTTTAAATACTTAAAAGGCCTAACGTTCAAAAGTTGAGCACCCAGAAGCTCCCCTGTAACTCCTATACTATCCTTTAATTCCCTGACTACAACTTCTATGTCCTTTCATATTGTGTATTGCAACCAGGCGTGAATAGTGTAAGCCAGCTACCCTCCTCACCTTTCTCCCACAGCAATAACCAAGGCTTTGCATAACCGGGTCAATTTCTTGTTCAAACACCTCTGCCAGTTTGGAGCAGTACTTATACACTCGGGACGTCTTGCGGTTATAGAGCCAGGCATTGTTGAACATGAGCCAGATGTCATCCACATACTGCCAAGGCTCCTGGTACTGCCCTGTGTCTAATTTTCTCTTGATGGTAGAGAGATCCATGGGGTTCTTCACTATATCAAAGTAATCCTGCAAGAACAAGGGGCATTTCAAAACATGACCAGAGGCACTTCACTACAAGGTGATAGCATGCACATTCCATAAGACTAGGCTGTTCTGCAAAGAAAGAAGTACCAAACCTGGCACTCAAGATCTGGCTAATGCCAGTCAACTGCTTACAACATTATAACATTTCACAGCTTACTGACAAATTGAGAAACTACTGTTGCTACACTTAAGGCAAGAAGTGTTCCCAGGACTGTACAACCCTGGAAAATCCAGGCAGAAAGCATCACAAGGTACAAATGCCAAGTAAAATCCAATATGTGGGGATCTGTCAGTAAGACCCACTTGATTGTATTCCTGTTATTCTGCTTGTTTTAGTAAGAGGAATCCATAAACAAACAATACTTAAAAACATGTTCAAAACCAGAGATGTATAGTACACTCCAACTCCCAACCCAAGCTCTTTCAATACATCTCTACAAAAACTGCAAACCAGACCCATAGTACACCATATGGTTTCTTCAAAGCTGACATGCCCTGGGAGTAGTGGTTATGAGTTAAAGAAGGGAGACAGCTTGCTAATACACTTACAGGAATTCCTAGTAGTTGAGGATCCACAGGCTGTCGGAAAGGAAGGGACTCAGGATCCTGCCTGTAAAGTGCCTCCAGTGTTGGCATAAGCGCCTGCCGCAATTCTTCTGGTTTGAAAACTTTTGAAATAAAATAACCAATATAAGCAAGGTTACAGTGATGGCTAGAAGCAAGAAGCTTGCTATATGATTTGAAACTGTGTTAAGTATTTGCTAAAAAACACACACAGAGCACAGTTTGTTCACTCTCTCTAATGCTGGATTTTGCAGAAGACACAAATTAGACATAGTGACATAAAGCTCATAATGAGAAGCGACAAACTGAATGCTAAAACAGGGTTTTGTTATATTACAGGAAGCAAACAAGTTTTTAAAAGATCAATTTACACTGGGTACAAACCTTTCATGTCCAGAGAATGAATTTGACCAAAGAATTATTAAAAGGAAAGGGACTTCCATCTTAGATATAGGCTTTCTAATACTTGTGGTCTGACAGTGAATCATTTTACTTAGCTCAGTGGAACCAATTATGAATATTAAAAATTAGACATTTGGGTCAGAATCATAAAATAGAGCTCTCAAGCAAACTGACAACGCTAAAAAAATGCTAAACAACTTTCCTTTGTCTCTCAGATAGATAATCTAGTCCCTCAGAAGTAAGAGTCTCAGAAACAGAAGAGTTTTCTTGCTTACTTTTCCTCTTAGATTGGCCAGCTGCTGGAGAAGACTGAGTAGCTGGAGTACTGGGTCTTTCTTCCTCATCTTTCATCTCAGACTTCACTTCTGCTTTCTTCTCCTCCTGTTCCATTGGGTCTGGTTTACATTCCTCCACCACAGGTTCAACTTTAATCTGAAAGGCCAAATCAGAATCTTTTCATCTATCACTTCTGTGAAGATCACCCAAATTTGGTCTTTTGTGCTTCATTAGCGATTTACCTCCTACTTCTCCCTAAAACAAAAGGCTTGTCTTCTACCAGAATCAGGGTGTGGCTACTGGTGGTATAAAACGACCCCCGTGCTAACTTTTTTAGCGAGACAGAACACTGCTGGCAATGGAGGCAGAGCAGCATGATGGTTAGCATGAGCCCAAACATCAGCTTCTTGATCAAGTTCTGTAACCTGCACCAACTCTGTGCTTTACTGCTATCAATACCTTAGCTAGCTTTAAAAGTAGCTAGCTCAGTATATCCACAAGCTGCAGATGCATCTCGACTGCAACACAGACATAACCCTAGGACAGCCCCTCCCCCATCCCTCCTCTCTCTCAGCCGTCCCTGGTTTCATCCAAGTCCACCCAACTCCCCATAGAGTCAGTTTGCCAAGACTCAAATAATTCTGTGACTGAAAAGTAGTTATTTATCACTAATTCAGAAACAAAGGATTCCCCCTGGAGGGAACAATCCCCTTGTCAATCAGCACCTCTGAGAGCATCTTGGTCCACTCATTCCAGTTTCCCATCCAAGCAGTGTCCAGGTGCAACCACATACCAGAACCACTTAGCTACCATCTTACCTCAGGTTTCTCCTCCCCCTGAAGGTCTGTTTGTTCTGGCTCCTCTTCATCCATTTTAATTTCCATTTTCACTTCCTGCAAGGGTGGTTGCTGCTGCTCAGGAGCATTCTGTTGAGAATTCACCTCCGTGCTGCTGGTGGATGGTGGGTTAGATACCTGCCCATCAACGCTCACAGCCGGTTGTGAAAGCTGAGAGAAAACCCACATTGATTAAAAAGGGTCCAATAAGTTGCACTGAAAAGCTTAGTACATTATGACCTTCTTTTAACGTGTTATCATACTTCCAAGTTTAATTGCATCTTGGACCCTTCCCTTCCCTACTCCCTCACACTCCACAGTATCTTCACCTGAAAAAGAATAGACCACAGAGCAACCTGGGTCTGTGCAAAAACACGTTCCTGAAATACTTTGGGTGGCACAGTAGTTTAACAATATTTCATGTGCATGGCACATTGCCATCACTTCCATGGAAGTAACTGCACTACTGGAGATAATCTTCCATGTTTTACAGTAAGTTCCTAAACAAGCACTATAATTCTTTGAAATACTTCCAGGGTGGAAGTAGATGGTGTGCAGTTTACTGCTCCTGCGTCTTCAGTCAAAAGTTTTACTTCTCAGATGTAATGCATACTTATTTTGGTACACCGACATCACAGTAGGGCAGTCAATGTCATGGACACCATCAAAAAAACCCGAAGATGCTGACTGAAAACAACCTTATATCCAAAGCATCCTTAAGGAAAGTATAAACACAGATATTTTCTTACAGGTGTTGTGGGGTGTTGAGGCTGCAGTGGTGCTGTTGGGGTCGGCACAGATGCAGTTGTACTCTGCTGTGACAGAGGTTGCTGCTGCTCTGCTGAAGGGGTGACTGGAACTGGAGGCTGGACTTGTGGAGGCAGCTGTACCTGTGGAGGAGTTGGAGTCTGCCTCTGAGGAGGGTGCATAGTTTGTGATGGAGGTCCAGGTGGCATTGCCTGAGGGGTAGGGGTGGGGGCAGTGGTGGCTGCAGCTGCTGCTGCTTGCTGCTGTTGCTGTGGCTGGGATCCCAGGCCTGGGGGTGTATGATGAGGTGTTGGGGTTCGACTAGGTACTGGAGAGGGAGAGTTTCGGTGCAAAGGAGGCTGTGGAAGCGGTGGGCAGTGAATATGGCTCCCCTGAGAACCGGGAGCCATTGCAGGAGAGTTCACAGGACAGGAAGAGCTAGGCATTTGTGCCTGTGGGAAAAACAAATAGATATTTACAATGACTTGACATCAGCATGAGACAGAAGATTATTCCAACACAAACAGTTTTTCATCCACTGTTAAAAAGTATGATACCACCATTGATTTTTTGCATTTCAGTTCAAAAAGAAAAATTGTTTTGTTCATCTTCATTTTGTTCAGATACGAGCATAAAGCACTGTTTAGGACTTTTTTCAATCCCAAACAGAAGGTTCTATGTAACAACCATTTTTCACTAGCATTCAAATAAAAAACTCCATAACTGCACCTTTTCATATCATTTTGTAAAAGTTACACCTTCAGTTTGTTCTTGGATAAATGACACATGTGAGCCTTAGTTAAGGCAAGAAATTCAAACACTCAGAATCAACTCAAGAAGAATTACAAGATTTAAGATCATCTCCCATTTTCCCATGAGGGGGAGGGGGCAGGAAGCTGCAAATGCACTGCAATCAAGGTCACAAAAAGTCTAGGACAGGGATAGACTAAAATCTATCATGCAGTATTAAATTTGTTTGGTAATTAAGAGTTTTCATCCTACTTCCTAGCCTCAAGGGTGGCAGCTGCAACGGGGACACCCGACAGGAAAAATTCTCCTGTCTTCAAAGCTGATGCAGCCTCCCAGTCATGGAAAAATCCCGAATCAGTTCCACTTGCAAGCAATGAGTTGAAAGACATAGCAGACAACCTTGCACGACCATCTTCGTTTCCTCAGCCTCTTTGTATTTCTCATACAATTAAACTTTGCTGTTTGGCAGGAATCAGTGTAAACCATCCCTCCCCTTCCCCCCACCTGGTTCACAAAGCTTCATTTTTGCAAGGGCTATGAAACCTAGCCCTACAAACTAGCTAATAGTGCCCAGGACTGTTGACAGACAAATGCACAAGCTTCTTAGGAGGTTACTTCACAGTAAGCCATTATGTCAATAGTTGAGGAAATGTTCTCCTCCATCAACCACATTCCCATACCTCCAACTGTCCATGACACAGAACCACAACAGTCATATTGCTTCCATAAGTGAGGAACGTACTTGAGACACTGGAGGCTGACTGCCAGGCTGGGTCATAGGCATGCTTGTAGCATTCATTCCTGGGGAGGAGGCAGGGAACTGGGTCTGTTGCAGAAACTGACTTTGACTGGAAGGTTGGCCAACCCCTGGCTGCTGCATACGTGAGGGAAAGCCCATCTGCTGGGGAAAAAAGAAGAGTTCATAATGCATATTCAATTCTCCCTAATGCTCCAAAGCTAGATGTACTACATGAAAAAGATTCTGATACCTGCCAGATCTTCATGTGATCCAGCACAGCAAACCTACTAAAGCTCTTCTTAAAAAAAGAGAAATGCTTTTAGAAGCAACTTCCTTATTCACCTATTCACAAAGCAGGAGTTTTGGAATTCAGCCTGGGTCTCTGGCCTAGCTGCCTGATAAAATGCATTGTTTCAAGGGTGCAGCAGCACACACAAACTTAACTCTTGGCTTATATTAACACTCCTAACCAAAACATAAAGGATAGTTACAGGCAACATGGCTGTCCAGCTAATATGCAAAGGAAAAAAACAAAGGGTCCACAGAATAAGTACATTCTGGATAAATATAGTTAAATCAGGAGCAAACTTAAAGAGTTCAACACGCTAGAATGAAAAATATTCTGACCTGGTTCATGGCCCCAGCCTGGCTTAGCTGTCCAGGGTGCTGAAGAGGAGGGGTTTGCCGGGGTCCCATTGTTGACAGCGGCATGTTCATCTGGCTAAACTGATTCATACCTGTGTGTTTATCACAAAAATATGTATTTTTTAAAGTTCCAAATTCTTCTTTGGTCAACATTTAAACACCAATAACTATCATCACTGCTTTCCATATTTCCTTTTATCAACACCTTTGGAGCATGCCACACAACCTGAGATACCTTGTTGGCTAACTTATGTTTTCTAAGGACCTAAAACAGACTAAGTCACTGTTTATTCACAAATCTAGTAACAAGCCTTGGATAAAATAAATGGTTTTTAAAAGTAGTTTTTAAGCAGAGAAATTTGGCATTTACAATAGGATGTTTTATACAAGGGTAAATCAACTCAGAGAAATCCATCTTCATATTAAACCAGCTGCTTGGAGAAACATGAAAACAAGTTTTATGCATCAAACAAACCTCTTCCACACTCTTTCAGAGCACAAGCTAGATGTTTTCCTGAACCACTTAAGTTCACATCCCTGAGTCTAGTTTTAAATGAGCTGAGGTAGTTCTTCTAACTTTAAAAAGTATTCATTATATTTTTCTCATGGACAATTACAATGATGTTTGTGATTATGAAAAACCTACTCTTCATCCTGCAGCCATACTTCTCACAGTTCATTTAATAATTATGGTAAGATCTACTCCATAAATTGGCCACAGCTGTATGCAGAATATCTGACTGCCTCCAAGACTAATACTGTCCACATTCAGTCAGTCTTCATTTAGCGAATAGCTCTCTAAGAAAAAAACAACTCTTAGACCAGAATCATAAAGGACTCCCACCAAACAAACAAAATAGCACAACAGCAGGGAAAAATTACATCCTGCAAAAGACTCCAATACAGACTTTTTGGCATCCTATACATACTGGAGAAAACCAAAACACTCCTTTCAAAGTGGTCTACAGTTATATGGATGTCTCTTCTTTCAAGACTTACCTGGCTGCGTCTGCATGCGATTCATCATCTGGTTTGGCACACTGGCTCGAATCATGGTTGGGTCAGGAAGAGGACCATCTGGAAAAAAAGTTGGAAAGAGAGGTTAGGGAATTAGGATATTATGGCATGCTCCCCAGCTTCATTTTTAAGAATCACAATTTATTCTCATTTAAAATACATGGTTATGTTCAAATTAACTTTTAACACAGTTAGGCTTTTATAAAAGTCTTAAGAAAAAGGAGCTTCTCAGTGAAGCAAAGAGTGGGAAGTTTTCTTGTAAACAAAAGTGTACATGACATCTTAAACAGAGTTTATTTTTCATAGGTCAACTTTGGGAAGTCAAAGAGCTGATCTGCAGCATAAAGAAATTAAAGTAACAAGGGCCTAAAAATGTTCCCAGCACTGCACTGGCATTTTTTTGTGTGTTGATCAGCAGACTTACAAATTCAATTAGAATACCATATTCAAAAGCATCTATACATTTAAGTTTCCATGCAATAAAATACAATTCTGGTGTCTACCACAAAATGCACCCTTGGTTTTAGAAACCTCAGACTAAGCCAACTGTAGAATAATTCTGGTGTGACTGGACATGGAACATCAAGCTTTTTACCTCTAGATCATTTATATTAGTCCAGGCCCAACTTGGTGACCAAAACTCTTGTATACAACAAATGCCTGCTCACATGACTGCACAAAAACGGGTCAGGAACTCAATTCCTAGTTGTGAAGTTTTCACAAAGATGAAGAACTGATCAAGCTAAGAGAGAAAATTTCTTGGTTCTCAGGAGGAAGGCTCAGGAGAATGGGTGAATCATACTGAGGGAAGAGAAAGGCTCAGGAGAATGGGTGAATCATACTGAGGGAAGGGCAAGAGACACAGCTCTCTGGAGGTAAAGTTTGCAGAGCTGTCATATTTGATAGAAAGACAGAGGGTTTCAGCCTCCAGAGCTGTCAATCCAGCACCTGTCATGGGCACAAAAATAATCTTAAAGAACAAGTACATTGCATCACAGATAAACAAGAAGTATTGAACTTCTGTCGAGGTATGATAAAGATGCAGATAAGGATGCAGCTCTTCAAATATATAAAAGGGTAAGAGCAACCAGAAACATTAACTGGTGCTCTTCACACAGGGTCTAGAAAAATTAAAGCTAGGGCATTCATCTTCTGGGATTTCTTAGCCCTACAAAGGAGATTTGCAGGTTGGATATCTATTAAATATCAAAGGTACAACTGAGCTATAAAGCAGTAATTAGCTGAAAATTCAACTACCCCTCAAGCCAGGTTCAAGCCTTAAAAATTATTGCTCAGCATTACCTAACTGACAAATGCAATACAGGCAGAGTCCTTAAGAATTCAGTCTTGGCACTTAATTTATTCAATATGTCCAATGGGCTACTGGAGAGAAAACAAAGTACACCAGTAGCACAGTAACAGTGACATTAGCTCCTAATAAAGACCAAACAACTCTGATGTTCCTATGTCAGACCAAAGAAGGAACCTGGGTAAAAAGTCTGTAACAATATTTAGGCCCCTTCTGATGTTTGTCCTTTGTAAGTGAAGATGACCACATCCAGTGGAGAAGGGAGGGGGAGGGGAGGAGGAGAAGAAAGGAAGCAGGAAAGAAAAATGGAGGGAGAAAGGGAAAAAGAGAGGAAAAAGGAGAAAGAAGAGAGAGGAAAGAGAAGAGGGGGCTGGAGGCTAGGTCATGTGGGTACACAGCTGATCTATAAGCCCAATCTTTGCTCTGAACAATCTGCTGCAACAGGGGCAGGAGAACGATGAGAGGTCCTCATTTTCTTGGCCACACGCTTCCTCACTGCCTCTATCATGAGCTAGTACTCAAAGGGCAGCGCTCCACCCTGAACCGATGACCTCCAGGATGGACAGTCATGAGTGATTTGCTCCCATGACTCCAGGTTCATGCCAAAACTCTTTTAGGGACATCTTTAGGGTGTTCTTGTACCACTTCTTCGGTACACTGAGAAAGTGTACTCCATCTGACAGTTTGCCATAGAAGATTTTCTTCAGCAGGCGAGGGTGAGGCATTCTTGAAAGGTAGCTGATCCATCTTAGCTGCACCAGTTTCAGTAAGGTGTGGATACTGGGGAGAGCTGATCTCCTCTATGTCCAAAATCTTGTCCTGCCACTTAATCTTCAGTATCTTTTCGCAGGCAGCACAGGTGGAAGTGGTTTAGTTTCTTGGCATAATGCTGGTAGACAATCCAGGTTTCACAGGCATAAAGGAGGGTCAGGAGAATGATGGCTTTGTAAACCTTCAGTTTCGACGACATTCCAATGCCTCTGCGGTCCCAGACTGACAGAGTCTGCTGAAGGCCACGCTGGCTTTTGCTAGCCTTGTATTGACTTAGTCGTCAATGTGGTCAGCACAGGAGAACGTGCTGCTTAGACAGGGAAACTTGTTGACCATCGACAGTTGTTAGCCTTTAACTGAGACATGTGGTTCCCTGGAGTGTTGTGCCAGGCGCAGGTTGAAACATCACTTCGGTTTTCATGTTGATAGTGAGTCCAAAGTTGTTGGAGACTGATGAGAACAGGCCCATGGACCACTGTATATCAGCCTGTGAGCCTGCACAGTTGTCAGCAAAGAGGAAGTCAAAGTGTGGCTGTCTGGACTCTCAAGCTTGCTCGGAGGCTGAGCAGGTTGAAGATGTTTCTGTTGAAACGGTATCTGATCCCCATACCAAAGTCATCATCAGGGATCTGGATTTTCCGTTTCCCCACAAAAAAAACAGAGAAAAACCACAGATTCCCTGTTTTTAAAATCGGAGAAAATGCAGATCTCTCTTTTTAGCAGAGAAAACTGTGGATTCTCCGCTTTTGCAAAGAGCTCTTGGAGGCTGGCACAGCTCCAGCCTGCAAGAGCCAGACTGCAGAAAGGGTGGGAAACCCCCAGCCCTGCCCAATGGGCCTGAGCCTCTGAGTCAGCCAAGGCTGGGCTGAGGTTCAGGCTCAGACTCGCCCTTCACCCCTGGAGCCTAGAGGTAAGTGGAGTCATCATTGATTCCAAGATGAACATGGGCCAGCA